ATAACCACGCCCACGTCCCATATAACGGTAATTTTCAGAAATACGAAAACTGCGATATTTTAGTAACGACCGACGATTATTCACTCAAAATTGATATTTACAACAATTTTTAGACGAAAAATAAGAATATTATAAATTTTTGGAACAATCTCGGACAATAACCACGCCCACATCCCATATAGCGGTAATTTAGAGAAATACAAAATGTTCGATAAATCAGTAAATATTAAAGCTAACTTATTCAAAATTGATGCTCGCAACAATTCTTTACCAAGAAATACGCGTATGGGTAAATTTTGGAAAATGGCCGTGGCACCGCCCACTTATGACCACATATATGTATATCGGTAACCGTTCTATCAATTTGTACCAAACTCGGTATTTTTGTTGTGCTTGCCACATAAAAGCAAAACGTTGAAAATTATTGAAATCGGACTAAAATTACGGCCGCTTTTCATATAACGGTAAATTTCATAAATGCTTGAAACTGCAATATTTCGAAATTTAAGGACGCTAATTTACTCAAAATTGATACACCCCGGCTTACCATCTAGCGGTAGGTTTCGGAAAGGTGAAAAACATATATTTAATACTTGCGCCGGGTATTTAATGTTCGGCTCCACCCGAACTTAGACTTTCTTACTTGTTAAGAATCGGGTTAATCGTTTATGAAGCTTGAATACATTTTCTGGAGACACTCTGAAAGACCATTCCAACGATACCTCAAACATGTCGATTGGACGTCTGGATAAAAACTTCCAAATCTCGTGTATATATAAGCGAGTCATTTCAGCATGCTACTGTGGCTGCTTTCGTCACTCGCGCGCACTGCCGTGCGCTGTGATTCTTTCGTGTGTTCTGGTTTTTGTCGCACGGTGTGTTATTATACCTTTCATGAGCATTCATGGTATTATAACTTTGTTCCGACGTTTGTAAGTACCAGAATAAAAAGAAATATGCCCATGTATACTTATATGATCAGAACGTCGAGGTGAGCCGACTTAGCCATGTCCGCCTGTCCGTCTGTTTGTATGCAATCTAGTCAATCAGTTTTCGAGATATCCGACTGAAATTTGGTAAGTGAGTGTATTTTTAGAATGTATTAATCATTTGTTGGAACCGAAAAAATCGGACCACTATAACATATTGCTCCCATAAAACTGATTGTTCAGAAATGAGTTTTTTCGTTATAACTCCTCCATTTATGCAGCTAGGAACATGCAATTTGCAGTGAAAATGACAAATATCGGGTCACTATAACGTATAGCTCCCATTCAACTGATCGTTCAGATATGAGTTTTTTCGTTATAACTCCTCCATTTATGCAGCTAGGAACATGAAATTTCGCGCTGTTTTCACTCATTATCAACAGAATACTTACAATGAAAATTGCAAAGATCGGGTCGCCATAACGTAAAGCCTCCATACAACTTTTTTTCGTTTGTTATAATATGTTTTTATTTATTGAATCTTTCTTTCGAAACTAATGCCGATTTCATTTCTACCGAAAAATGCAACCTTCTCTTTGGCCTCTAGGCACACGCACTATGAAGAGGGCGATGAGAAGGCAACATTTTTTGTAGAAACGAAATCGCCATAACAATAAGTTTTCAAATCATACAAACTACCATTAAATTTAAAATTTCTGCAGCAATGCTTAGACATTTTTGTATTTTTTTACATATATATTTGTTGTAGCTGTTGCGGTTGTTGCGGCTGTCGGTATGGACAAGATTCCGAACAACAGGATCCCTAGATATCGTGCTGGGCAGGCGGTCTGAAAGGACGAGTTCCAGAGCCGCACTGCCTGGGCGGGTGGAAAGGACTAGTTTCCACGCCGCTCGTTCGCTTCTCTATATTGAAGTAATTACAATCCAGTATGCTGTGTTCGGTCGGAAAGGACAAGTTCTCGAGCCGTTCTGACACTGGTGTTGGGTGATCGGTCTGAAAGGACGAGTTTCAGAACCGACATTGAAATATTGTGGATATCCACATATATTATATTGCTCATCATTTGGTAATATCGGATAAATCCTTTCTTTTTAGTCTTCTTGCATATCTCGGGCTAAGAAGATCTCTCGCTAGTCGATTCGGATGGTTCTTTAACCGTACTTCGTTTGATACCCATATTGCAGTACATAATTCATTTAAATTAATGGAATTTAATTTTTAATCAGATGGCAACCCTTGTAAAACACCTCAATAATATTCTAAATATTCAATCTGTAGGTTTCTTAAAAATCTTTCGTTTGAAACCCATATTTTCATTTTCCAGATAGCTTGCGAATATTTAATTTAAATTTGACTTTTCAAACAGTTGGCAACCCTTTTCAAAATATTTTCAAACTACAACTTTTTTAAGCCTCTTGAAATCCATTTTTTAATATAATTTTCAAGTAAATAATTCCGCTAACTTGAGTTGAGTTTGATTTTTTAAACAGTTGGCTCTCCTACATGAGTGTGGAATTGATTTTATATAGAGTGAAAATCTCTCAAGTGGGCCACCCAAAATTGGATGTTCAAGATTTTTTCGCACAAATCAATTTATTCGGTTTACACGCATAAAAAAAAAATATAATTTGAGCAATTTTGCAAAATCGAATTTTTGCAAGAGTTATTGTTATTAACTTTTTTTTTTGATGAATTCAGTAATTATTTATTATCCACTGATTCATAGCATGTATCTTGCTGATTTTTTCCACGACAATAGTTAATTAGACACGCTTTAGCCTTATTGTTTCAATTTTTCGAATAATCATTATTTTGTTTACATTTTTAACTTTCATAAAAAATTATTCTTAAGAAATGGAAATATTTATTACTTCTCGATCAGATTTTTTAATCGTTTACATTGAATATCAATCTTTATTCTATAGAACATTATTTAAAAGAAAAAAGAAACACGGAAACTTGCACGGAGTCCCTAGATATTAATTTTTTTCGCTCCTGCCACGGGTGCTTTTGCTTTCATGCCGCATGCCGCGCGGGCTCGCAGCGAGCGTGGTGCAACCCGAAAACGCAAAAAAAAAATTGTAATTGTGAATTGTTGTTCAAGCACATATGTACAGATGTATGTGTGTACAAATAAAACACCTCTTTGAGGTAAAGCTTTCGAGTGACGAAAGCTGAACTAGAAACACAAAATTTATGATATCAATTTCGTGACGAGAATTATACGCTTTTTTTAACTGCCTTGGAAACGTACGGAAAATTTTTTTTATTCATACGAATCGTTGCAAAAGTTCTGTTTTTTTTACCTCCCTTTTATTAGCTCGGGATGTAACTATGTAATATTGATGCGCCTAAAAGATGCAGCGATTTCTATTCTCATACCTGATGACAGTACGAATGCGAATTATAACAGCGAGGTTTTAGTTTTTTAAACTATAATTTTATTATTTTGTGTTTCTAGCAGTAGACGGAATTTCGCAACGTTCCGAATAAATAAAAAAAGATATTCCGTACGTTTCCAGGGCAGTTAAAAAATGCATATAATTCTCGTCACGAAATTGATATCATAAATTTTGTGTTTCTAGTTCAGCTTTCCTCACTCGAAAATCTTACCTCAAAGAGGTGTTTTATTTGATATCAATTACTTTGGGGTAGCAAATTTTAAATCGACCAAAATACAAACAATAATCCAAATGTTTTATTTTTCTCAATAAAATGTTATCTAAATCCAAATTAGGTATACAGATCGATGTGTCCATTGAAACACATAAATTTTCGAATACGGAATAAAGCGAAAAAGGATGATCATATCCTTTGTATTCGAAAATATTAAAAAAAAAAATTATGAGAAATGATAGAAACGTATCAACTTGGTACCAACTTTGGATACAATAAGCAACTGTATTCGTCTGATTGCCTCGTAGTTTATTTTTGTTAAGATTTCTACCGGGTGTGGGGCGCACACATGTGCTTTTTAAAGAAGTTTTACTTCAATCACGTGTACGGTGTGGCACTCGTGCTATTAAATTAATGCTTTTTCTCAAGTAGTTTTGCTCAGTGACAATTTATACATTTTATGTAAGTAGTAGCGGCATATTGGGTGAACTAAATGCATTCATACATACATAATAGGGGTATTCTCTGAGTCGTGCAAAGCCCTTGCATGGTGCACAGATTGCACGGATTGCACGGTTAAAACCGGTTTTCGTATGGGACAGCTTTGCAAACCGTGCAATCCGTGCACCGTGGAAGGGCTTTGCAAGACTCAGAGAATACCCCTATTGTTGTACAACTGTAGGTAATATTGTACGCGTCTTCCCAGATTGGTTAAGTGCGGGTGATAAACCCATGTAGCATAGTTAAATACTGTGCACATACCTGCAATTAAAATGGGGAAAAATTTTACAATTTCGGGATGTGACTGAAAAAAACTCTAAAATACACATAAATTGTGGTTTCAAAGACATGTACTAAGTGATTAGCACAGCTGCATCCTTCAACTTGTCAACTCGCGGAAAATTCCCCGATTTGCAAGAAATTTCGGTTTAAGTGGCAATCGGGGAATGGGCAATTTTTTCGGGGAACTGGGTATGTTATTTTTATATCTTAAAGTAACCAAATTAGACGAATATGTTAATTTTTAACCATTTGACCCTTTTTGGAGCGAAATTTTTTTTCAATTTGAATCGCAATATCTTCAAAACAAGAGTTTTCCCAGATATAAGCTATATACCAGATGAAAGCCAAGGTTTTGGGCTAGATTTGTGGAAACCAAGAATAAAATCGACTGACCAGTTTTTGAGAAAATGCTTGAAATGTATATTTTCAGCAGTCCGATTTTTAGTTTTCAGGCGATAACGTTATGACATATTTATATTTTATAAACACAAAAGATAGCGTTGGATAGCTTGTTTGAAGACCCTTCTACTGTGTAACGAAGCGTTTTCCTGTTAAGGCCCCGATGCTTCTGTTTTCTATGCTGGGGTATACTCGCCGTGCCCAGGGTCCGTTACAATAAATTTATATTGTGGGGCCTTTGCAAATAGTACTTTATTTAATTGCTGCTTATTTTCTATCACGTGGAAATTCTTAACATTACAAACATAATATCATTAACGGGACGTAAATTCCTAACGGTGCTGTTCTATCGGCGTTGCTGTATCGCCGCTCTGTCGCTGTGCGACGCCGGCGCTGCTGTATCGCCGCTCTGTCGCTGTGCGACGCCGGCGCTCTGCTTCTGTGCGACGTCGGTTCCCTGCTACCAGGCGGCGTCTGCGCTACTGTGTCGGCGCTCTGCTATTATGTGACGTCGGCGTTACTATGCCGGCCCTCTGCTTCTGTGCGATGTCGGCGCTCTGCTATGCCGGCGCACTGTTATCCCACGATCGGGCGTCGCTGTCGCGCGTGTTCGCGGTGGACTGTGGCGTGGCGGCGCTCTACCCTTGAATAGCCAAGCCTTGTGTAGTCGCCTATCCACAAGTCGAGCGCTATTCGTTTGTAGCTGTGCGTTCACGACCACAGCTCCGTTACTGACGCGTAGACTGCTGGCGCTCCCCGTTGGAGCGCGGCTGCTGGGTGACTTCGGCGCTTCTCCGTTGGTGCGCGGCTG